GAATTAATAATTGAAAATAATAGTAAAAGAATTAATTATTGATTATATATTAATAAAATCTCTAGGTTTTTAACTTTATTTTAATATATTTTTATTAATTTCTATGCAGTAGTTTTTGAGTAATGAATAAATAAAAAATTTCAAAATTTTTTGTACCACACTATATATTTGTTTAATAGGTGATAGGCTAATATCTATAGCAATATAATTTATATCTTAATATTAATTATATAACAAGTTAAATTTTTATTTTATTAATAAAGATCATGAGTAATGCTTTACTCTAATATTAAAAAAAAATTAATTAAATTGAAATATAATAATAATAATAATAATAGTTGTTATAAGTATTATGATTAGTAAAAAAGATTGTGTTTATCAAGGTAAAAAAATCAACAATATTATATATAATAATGATTATATATATAATATTACTTTAACAATTAACAAAATTTAATATCAAATAATACAATTACTATTATATTATATATAGTATTTCAACCAAATAATTTAACTGTTTTTAAAATATATAATAATATAATAACTTACTAAAGTTGATAATAAAGATAAAAGGATGTATAAATATTGAAAATAAAAAAAAATTTTTATTTTTCTAATTTTGAAAAATTATTAAAAAAAGAAAATTTTCTAATTAAATATGATGCATGGATTAAAAATTATTATTATTATACTAAATTAAAATTTAATTTTTGAAATATATTGTATAATAAAATAAATAATGCAACAAAAAAAACCAACAAACTTTGAATCATTCAACATTAGACTACCATGTAGACTTCACGTTTTAGTAATTTATATGAATATCCGTTATGTCAAGTCCCTCAATTTTTTCATTATTTTTTATGTACTCAATTGTTTTTTCGGCTGCCATCTCTGCTACCTCCTCGATTTTATTCACAGGATCTTTGGGGACGCCCGTGATTAACGCGAATTCTAAATTATCTAACGCTGCGGCCTACATCAAGATATTTTAAATATTGTAATCAGTGAATTTTTTTTCTAATAGCAAGAATAGGAAGTAATACCTCTTTCTCATCTAAAGAAATATAAAATAAGTTAGATGTCATAGTAAGCAGAGAAATAATTCATATTTTGAACAAATGCATACCATCATTCATTTGAAGCTTATTGGAGGTATCAGCAACAAATACACCTATTAACAAATTAAAAAATATATAATAGGTGAATGATTAATAAAAATAACGTTATCTCTAGTCACTTATTTACCCACCGTTATCTGTGGCTGCCTTGATATCAACAAGATTTGAAGAATCGCCGATTACCATTATAACATTAACAGCTGGTGACAATGCATCCAACACTTCCGCATCAAATTTCCCTACGATCTAATTTATTTAACTAATTAGAAAAGATTATTTGTCAAGATAATGTAAAATAATTATCGTTAATCACCTGTTCAGCACCAAGAGCCAACAAGATGGCAACAACATTTTCATATTTTGTCGTGGCTTCTACAAGAAAATCTTTTCTTGTAGAATCGAACATCTGATTAAAGGGATGTTTTCACGATTGATGTGTATCGATCCAAGGATTATCATAAAAAAGACATAACAATCAATGTCAAATTAAAGAAATTAAGTTTCAACAGTATACGAATTTAGATACCTTAAATTCATAACTGTCTTTCATAATTTCAAGTTGTTTTGTTGCATGAAAAATTTCCCCAAATATTAGCACTTCTTGCTTTACTTCCATGTCTTTCCAGTTAAAGTGAATTATACTTAATTTGACGCAGAA